TAAGTACGACGAAACCCCAAAACCCCAAAACCCCAAAACCCCAAAACCCCTTCTTCTGTAAAATAAATTGATATCTCTGGCTTAAAATATTTCCATTAGGTTCTCCAAGGGCTAGAATAGGTGCCAAATTACGTCACTAGTCTGACAGGAGCAAGCCCGAGGACTTTTTGATAGGGAGGAGGAAGGGATTTAGAAGTCTCCAGCCTCGGAAGAGGAGAAAGTGTTGTTGCTACATGGAGTAGCAGGATCTTTGCCCTTGTTGTTCTGGAGAGAGCTTTCTTTAGTGTAGTCTTCTTCCATGTCTTTATTACTATCGAGATCTGAAACTACCCAATCAAAGTTGTAATCAAATCCTTTATCTAAGAATAACTCTTTCATAATCCTTCTCATTTTGTTGTAGTTAGGAGTTTCGTCGTACTTAAGATTTAGCACGTAGTCAAAGTACTCCTTAAATTCTCTTGGGAGTTCTTCGAAGAGTCTTCCAGTTCGGATAGAATCCTGCTTTTCGCTTAATATAGCCTTGTTCTTTTCTTTATTTTGAGCGAGCTTTCATGCCTTTCCATGGGAGTGTCCCAGTAAGCATATAAATTATCACGTATCCAAGGGATTCTAGGTCATCTCGTCGGCTGAGTTGGTTCCCAAGGTGAGCGTTGATAGATCAATACCGAGGAGTTCCGATCATGCCTCTTCCTTCACAATACTCCGAATGAGTTTTTGTGACGGAATCCCGATAATATTTGGACAGACCAAAGTCAATAATATGTAAAGACTCGCATTTCTCTTCAATACCGATACAGAAATTCTCAGGCTTGATATCACGATGAATGATATCATTTTCGTGTAACTTCTCAAGGCATTGAATTCCTTGGTCTATCAACATCAGTCACGTTTTAAGGGTAAACTTCTTGTCACAATATAGGAAAAGATCTTCCAAACTTGGGCCAAGAAGATTCATAATTCAGACATTATAGTCACCTTCCTGACCATACCACTTAAAAGAGGGAAAACGTTCTTTTCCTGATAAATTTTGAAGAATCCTTGCTTCTCCGAGTAATTGAGGGTGCTTTCATTTCAGAGATTCCATTTTAACTGCAACTCTTTGATGGTCGTTAGAAGTATCTTCTGCAAGGTACACAATACCAAATGCCCCAGATCCAAGTCTGTGGGTTAGTCTGTATTTGGTACACACTCTTATTTCGTATCCTTCCTCAAATGACATAAAAAGTAAAGTTTTCCTTAGGTAAAATATTAAAATTTCAAATTATTTTAATGAAGAGGGGTTTTGGGGTTTTGGGGTTTTGGGG